AACCCAAACCCAAACCCAAACCCGGAACCCAAACCCAAACCCAAACCCAAACCCAAACCCAAACCCAAACCCAAACCCAAACCCAAACCCAAACCCAAACCCAAACCCAAACCCAAACCCAAACCCAAACCCAAACCCAAACCCAAACCCAAACCCAAACCCAAACCCAAACCCAAACCCAAACCCAAACCCAAACCCAAACCCAAACCCAAACCCAAACCCAAACCCAAACCCAAACCCAAACCCAAACCCAAACCCAAACCCAAACCCAAACCCAAACCCAAACCCAAACCCAAACCCAAACCCAAACCCAAACCCAAACCCAAACCCAAACCCAAACCCAAACCCAAACCCAAACCCAAACCCAAACCCAAACCCAAACCCAAACCCAAACCCAAACCCAAACCCAAACCCAAACCCAAACCCAAACCCAAACCCAAACCCAAACCCAAACCCAAACCCAAACCCAAACCCAAACCCAACCAAACCCAACCTGGCACTTCCACTTCCATCATTATTATCAAACACAATAGATCGCAACTTGATGGAAGTGAGTGCCTGTGGCACTTCCACTTCCACCATTATAAAGCCAGATCTCTATCTATTTTTAAAATTCTATTTTTAAAATTAGCGGTATCTTTATTTACCTAGAGATAAATTACTATGGCATTCCATCAGAACTTCTCAAATATTGATATTTATTAATTTCACATCAGCCGTATATTGTTCCCCATTCCAATCACCATCTTTTGATATAATTTATAATATATATTGTTAATGTATTTAAGGAGAAAAGCTTAATAAATAGGGGTTGACATGGGATCCAAAACCTACTTTCGAATAGCTTGAAAACAACACATTTACACCACAACTCGATAACTAGATAAGAACTATATACTTTTTTTAAAACTTTACTAAAAAAACCAACAAAATACCCAAACGGCGCTTAATAACCCTATATCAGATCATAAAGACCATGGAGCCACAGAAGAAACAAATCAAAACAACACGTTTCCAAACCCAAAAATAGAATTATTCTAAACCCAACCTTCAAACCCTAGCCCAAAATTATAAACTTATTCAAATATCATTAAATTTTATATCATTCGATTGGAAATGATGAGTAGAACAACGTAGTATATTTAGTTTTTCAATTTATAAAATATTAACTTTGTAAATAATGTCAG